GAGACAAACCTTCTGGCGAGACACACAGAGCCAATTTTCTTTGCGGTAGATACAGCTATTAATTCACATTGAGACGCTCTCGTGGAGTTGAGCATCAAGCATGTTGATAGAAGACAGGGAAGTTTCTCTATGATGAGTAAATAACAGCAGTTTCGTTTTTGACACATTAAAATTCTCAAGCCATTTCCTTTCCTAGTCAATCACAGATTGGAGGTCGTTTTCGAGAGCAAGAGCCAGGTTAACTTTGTCAGTATTACCGGATTGACCTTTGAGACATGAGGGAATTGTAGAGTCATCCGCTTAGAGGCCTACTTTAAAACTGGTGGCGCCACGATCATTGATAAAGATCAGAAACAGTCTAAGACCTAGGATAGGGTCTTGACGAACACCAGCGTCCGTATGGAAGGAACTGGAAGAGAACCTGTTCAAGACAACCTTCATTTCACTTTTAAAAAAGAATGATTGGATTAAATCAAATAATCCTCTATAATACCGTATCCCTGAAGAAGGGCAGCATGCCAAACCCTGTCAAATGCCTTCGATATATCTTGAACAACTACTCGAGCTTCGCCGTTATTATCAAGAGTTTAGTATACATCTTCAGGGGCATCTCAAAGTGATGTAATGGTTAGCAAGCTCGTCTCGCTAGAACAATTACGAATGAGTAGTGAGTTCGATCCTCACTGGGTGCCACTTACTTTCGGCCTTGTGCTACATCTAGTAGTATGCATCTTCAGTTATGGCCGTAAACATATCAGTGGTAGACTAGGCAAAGCGGAAACTATATTTTTTGTCAGAGAACAGATCGTGAGAGCTGAGAAGCTTAACAACTGCGTTGATTAAAGCCCCGTCTTCTACGTTGGCAAAGACAAATGTTTTAATATAAAAGATTGCAAATTGTACCCGTGTAAGGATGAAAAGTTTATAAAGATAAAACTAACGTCGAAATGTAAATTACACGTTCTGCTAGAATTTTTAAAAAGACTTTTTTTCCTTCTTTTTTTAAGCATTTATTAAATCAAGGGATAGACAATTTATTCCTATAGAATTTACCCATCTTCCTTTTAAAACTACGAAACACCTTCCGTAAACCTGGGTGCTGCAGATGCGAAAAATAACCGGAGGTTTTCTTTTTCAACACGACTAAGGATTATTATGAATTATTATAACCGCTGTATGCCACTCTGTTTGCACAACCGTTTTCAGAATATTCCAAGTTTCATATTATTAACCTCAGTATGAAGAGACGTTGCCACAACCGCACACCACACAAGAGATTCACAACAGCACTACTACTAAGGTCAGAGAAATGGAAAGGATCTGGGAACCCCTTCCTTAAAAACAATGGATGAGCCTCTACTCCTGTTCAAAAGAGGCAGAAGGCGTAATAACATGGCTGTAGGAAAGCATATCTACTCCTATTAAAAAGAAAACAAGAAAGAGACAAAAACAAACAACAAACAAAAACAAAGACAACAACATCGAGCTTGGAAACTGGAGCCTCAATCTGGGCTGGGAAGCACAGCGCGAATTATATATGTATAGATTCCACATGGACTAGAGGTCTAAAAGACATAGAGGGTAAAGGGAGATACTTGAACATTCTCTACACCCGTCCATATGGATTGTTATAGATGAATAGAAGAGAAGCTTATTCCGTCTGAATTTATTATCAAAAGGACATAAATCTCAATAACTCAAATTTACTTTCAACAATTTTTCCCAAATTTTAAAAGATTAATCCAGACGACAAATCAAAGCTTGATTACATTTTTTAATCATTTCACCCCATACAAGGCGAAAATGCCACTAATACACTGAGGATTACAAGGAGTTAAAATGAGAGAAATGACTGAATATAGGGAGGAATGAGGAAATGATAAAAGAGGAACAGGATTCAAGAAGAATTTTTTGAAGATTATAATTATCAGGTAAGCACAGAAGGGCGTTCCACAGGTGGGAAGTGCGAGGAAAGAAACTGTTGGAGTAGAAATGTCGGTTGCATTTAGCTATTTGAACAGTAAACGGGTGGGATCTGGATGCCAGCCTAGTAGCATGCTTAAATTCTTGTAGTCGGAACACAAAAAACTGCAGTCTGAATTTGAGAAAAGTTGTTTAAAGTAAATTCGAGTTATTGCGGTTTATGTGATTTGCATAATAACTTCAGACGGATAGCAATTTTATGACTTATATTTCTTCATATGAATTAAGACAAAAGGAAAACTTATCTTAGCCGAGGCATTTCGTTCTCTGAAGGATTTCATCAAAGTAGACGACGAAACGCGTCGGTGAAGATAAGTTTTCCGATTATCTTTATTCATATTGTCCTTTTATGGATATATTCTATATGAAAGTTTTACACATCTTTTAATATGTTATATAGACTTCACAGCATCCAGAATCGCACCCTACACTTAAAAATTCCAGATATTTCATACATGTCGCTGCGTTTTTTTTTATATTCAGCACAGAAACAAGCGAATATTATCCTTACTACGCAGATAGATATTTTCGTCATTCAATAAACTAATCGTTAGATTCTAATAAGTATTTATTTTATATATCGATACAAGAAGTAAACTAATAATGTGAGAGGCAGTATGTACATATACTTATTGCAAATATATCGAAAGTACTCGGAAAAATAAAATAAATTAATATATTCATGGTATCTTCCTCGTACTCTTTAATCAGGAAATAACAAAGCTTATACGTGAATACGAAAGGATCTTATTTAAAAAAAACAAAATGGATAAATTGTTTAATCAGGCATGCTTAAATGAAAATATGCTGCCAAAGTATACAGTATATATATATATATATATATATATATATATATATTTTAATAAAAACAGACCACTTTAAGGTTCCATGTAATAAGTTATTTCACCACAGCCCTTTTAAAGGGCTCTGGATTTCAACCTTGGGAAGTAAAATCTGTGGTGAAATAACTTATTATATAGAACCTTAAAGTGGTCTGTTTTATTCAAATTTATTCCTCTGAATTTACATTGGGTCTACCCATACGGATTACCTAGTTTTGCATAAACTAAATATATATATATATATATATATATATATATATATATATATATATATATATATATATATATATATGTATTAACAACAGATCCTTATTGAAACATATATTGTTAAATATAACAGACAACGAATGTCTATTATGTTTGAACATATAGCGTATAGTGGGTTTAGCTTTGGGAGAAAATAAAGACAAAACTGTACAACATAATAAAAAAAATATCCAAATGTTAGACAGTTTTTTCTTTATTTTCTCCCGAAACTAATTCCACTATACGAAGCTTAAAACCGGCTCATGATCAAACATAATAGACATTCCTTGAATTATATATATATATATATATATATATATATATATATATATATATATATATATATATATGAAGACTAATGGGTATGTCCTAATCCTCATAAATACGTTGGGCACTATTGTAAGTAGGGGTAATGTGCTGTCTAAGTAGTTCACCACTAATAGTGGTTTACCTATTCACGCCGCTGGCGAGTATTGTATTTTGTTGATGTTATAAAGATTACCATTTCATTTCTAACATCCGTTTTGCTTATTCCTAATTCAGTAATCTTTTTCTTTTTCGTTTTCTTTTTTTTCAACCTTTTGAAGTAAAGTCTGATGATCCAGAGACCTTTAAAAGGGCTGTGGTGAAATAATTTATTACATGTAACCTTAAAGTGGTCTGTTTTTATTCAAATTTATTTGCTCTGAATTTATATTGAGCTCTCTGGATATCATCCTCCTTGGGTCTACCCATACGGATTAACCTAGTTTTGCATAAACTATATATATATATATATATATATATATATATATTATAAATTAATTGATTTAAAATATGTTTTTTTCGCTACACAGTCCTAAACATGTTTCAAAAATGGGAGCTAAAAGCCACGAATATAATTTTGTGATTAAATTAAAGACATTAGTTCCATTTCATCCTCAGGTGAGTTTTAAATTAATCACAAAATTAAATTCGTGGCTTTTAGCTTCCATTTTTGAAACATGGTTAGGACTGTGTATTTTAAATCAATTAATTTATAATATTATTGCTCTGTAAATTTACATTGAGCACTATTTTGTAAAAATAAAAATATCTATAAGAACACCCGGATTATATATCTTGCTGTTTCTTTCTTTTTTTTATATATATATATATATATATATATATATATATATATATATATATATATATATATATATATATATATATATGTGTGTGTGTGTGTGTGTGTGTGTGTGTGTGTGCGTGCGCTTGTATGTTTGTGTGTATGTGTTTGATATGAGTCATTCGATATATACCATATAATATGATCTATCTTTTTCAGTTTCGACATCTTATTCATTTTTATTGTAAATTATCTATTGATTTCCTAGTGGTGTTTCTCCTTTTTCTTCTCCAACTACGCCTTCTTTAATCCTTGTTTCCGATTCTATTTTTTTTAATTCATCCTCTTCCTGTTAGACGATAAAAAGAACAGAACAAAGTACTTTTGAAACTAATGGCTGAACTTCCGGACATCTTCCCCACTGAGACTGGTGACGTCACTTCCGCCAATTGATTTTTCTTTCAAAGAAGAGCGGTGTGACGTTTTCTCTGTAATCTCTTACGCGACTGACTTTGCAATCCGCACTCGAAAGGCAAAGGACATCTACAGAGTGGAAAAAATTAAGGTAAAAATGGAGATGCTGCACTTTAAATTCGTGCCTGCTTTGAAAAGGGTCTCGGCGGGAGTGTCACGATATGCCGAAATTGAATATTTCAATGGAAACTAACAGGAGACATCAGATAAATCCTTCCTTTTTTTTCTTTCCTTTCTGATTCTCATTCGACATTTTCAATCTAAATTGGAAGGAGAGACGTACAGAGTACGACGGAAATAAAGACTAAAATGTTTCAAAAAGAATGTAGATAGATAGATAGATAGATAGATAGATAGATAGAAGCAAACTAATAGATAGATAGATAGATAGATAGATATGAACAGACAGTAATAGATAGATAGATTGAAGCAAACTTTAATAGATAGATAGATAGATAGATAGATAGATAGATAGATAGATAGATACGAACAGACAGTGACAGATAGATAGATATGAACAGACAGTAATAGATAGATTGATAGAAGCAAACTTTAATAGATAGATAGATAGATAGATACGAACAGTGATAGATAGATAGATAGATAGATAGATAGATAGATAGATAGATAGATACGAAAAGACATAGATAGATAGATAGATAGATAGATAGATAGATAGATAGATAGATAGATAGGTTCAGAAAACCTATGAAAAGGGGGAAAGTGTACGTCAAGGAAAAGAAAAGTAAGTTGGCTGAGAGAGAAAGGACGAAGAAATGAAGCTTGAAAGTGAAAACATGATGAGGTGAGGTTAAAAGGATGAAGGTAACGGACTTGGTCGAAGGAAAAAGGTTCAGAAAAATCAAGGCAAAGAAAATGATGAGAAACTGAAAATATCGTACTTTGATAGATCTTAAATCGTAAACTGATGCCTGGAAGTGAAATAAGTGACAGACGAAGAAGAAGATCTTGAAGAGAAAGGAAGTCAAAAGAAAAAGGGTATTAAAAAAACAATAAGGAAGAAAAAGTACCTGAATAGACAAAACAGAGAAGTGAAAGCTAAATCCGGTGCCTAGAATACAAAGAAAGAAAGAATGAAGGAAAGAAGAAAGAAAGAAAATGAAAACGAAAACCCTAGGCATGCATCGAATCAAAAGAAAGAAAGAAAGAAAGAAAGAAAGAAAGAAAGAAAGGGATAAAGTAAAAGCGAAAAACTGATGCTTACAAGAAAAAAGGAAAAAGAAAGAAATAATAAGGAAATGGAAAAAGAAAGAAAGAAATAATAAGGAAATGGAAAAAGAAAGAAAGAAAGAATAAGGAAAACGAAAAAGGAAAGAAAGAATAAGGCACACAAAAAAGAAAGAAATAATAAGGAAAACGAAAAAAGAAAGAAAGAATGAGGAATAGAAAAAAGAAAGAAAGAATAAAGAATAGAAAAAAGAAAGAAAGAATAAGGAAAACGAAAAAGGAAAGAAATAATAAGGAAAACAAAAAAGGAAAGAAATAATGAGGAAAAGGAAACGAAAAAGAAAGAAAGAATAAAGAATAGAAAAAAGAAAGAAAGAATAAGGAAGAGAAAAAAGAAAGAAATAATAAGGAAAACAAAAAAGGAAAGAAATAATGAGGAAAAGGAAAAAGAAAGAAATAATGAGGAATAGAAAAAAGAAAGAATAAGGAAAACGAAAAAAGAAAGAAAGAATAAGGAAGAGAAAAAAGAAAGAAATAATAAGGAAAAGGAAAAAGAAAGAAATAATAAGGAAAACGAAAAAAGAAAGAAAGAATAAGGAATAGAAAAAAGAAAGAAATAATAAGGAAATGGAAAAAGAAAGAAAGAATCAGGAAAAGGAAAAAGAAAGAAATAATAAGGAAAAGGAAGAAGAAAAAAGATTTCAAGACAGAAAAAAAAAAGTGTTAAAAGGAAAAACCGATGGCCACAAACAGAAGAAATAAAAAAGAATTGTAGAAATAAATAAATAAATACCCAAACTCGAGATGCCGAGAACTCGAAAAAGAGAAAGATTCTTTTTGAATAAAGAAAGTCAAAGCTAAATGCCAAAGCCTGGAATGAAAGAAACTAACTAATAGGAAGAGAGCAAGAATAGAGTTCACTTTTGTAGAGAAAAAAGAAAACATCTATTTACCAGTCAAAATCCAAAGGAACTGAAGATATATATATATATATATATATATATATATATATATATATATATATATATATATATATATATAAATATATTCATTTGTAAAAAAAAAAGACCAAGCTTTTAATATAGGCAGAACATGTGTCATCGACCGCGCATTGTGAAATTCTGACAAAAAATGGAGATTACCCGACGTTGTAAGAATCGAATATTCAAAACACATAACGGAATTATATCGAGCCGGTGCCTTCGCAGTGACAAAGTCGCAAAACCAAGGTGGCTTTTCGAAAAGATGAAAGCCAACAAATACGATCATCCTTTTACAATGTTCACCCTGATCACGTGAGATATTTCCACGAGGGAAACCTCTAATATCCAACTGAATGATCAAAACCCGAATATCTGCAATAAATATCTTAAAAATTGTTTTTTTGTTATTGTTCATGTCAACTTCTACGCAGGAAGACTCTGATTATTCTGCGATGTGATTTGACAAATATCTCTATTTTTCTTGTTTTTATCCCTTTTTTTTCTAACTAATGCATCGGGTGTTGTACGAAACAGACATAATTCCATGAATTACTCGGACTAATATCCACATTCTGGTTGACTTGATACCAACGTTCTGGACGATGCGCTCTCCAACCTTCCTCGTATTGTTTCAGTATTTGATATGAAGTACTTTCATTGTTCCAAAATGAATTCGAATGTATCCTTCCATTCCTTCTGTGTCAGCGTATTGAAAATACACAGAAGGGATGGAAGGATAAAAAGTTAGAAAACCCCTAACAAATTAGGGCACTTTTTTATGGTTGCTTGTTGACTCAAATATACACCCTAGCAATATTTACATGTAGACTCAAGTATAAACCAGAAAATGTTTAACTTAACCTCTTTCGATTTTTTGCATATTTCCTGGATTCAGTTTTTATACACAGGTAGCTGTTAGACATTGTCCACTTTTCCAGTTTTTTGGGGTTTTATATATATATATATATATATATATATATATATATATATATATATATATATATATATATATATATATATATATTAATTAGTATTTAACCATATAAGTTTATTTAACAAACTCTTAAGCACTCATTATATACGAAACCTTTACTTGATTGCAACTCTTATAATGTCTGAGTGGTTTAGAAAGCATACCGAGCTTAATTATGGTTACCCCCACACACCACCACCACAAAAAGGACACAGGTTCGAACCCTGCCAAAAGGCATATTCTCTTTTCGAATACACATGTGTCAGACCTTTTAAATCCGACCTAATTTACTGTTTTCCTTTTTCTCTCTGCTCCTATTAAACTCTCAATAACATCGTCCGCGCAAGCCTGATCAGTGTGCGAACGCTTATACAACATCATCTAATTTAATCTGACCTCTACCTGAACGCAACATGGCGGCACAAACCTCTCTCACTCGTTCAGCTAAAGACCGTTTGTTTATTTAAATAACAATAATATAATTCAATCGTAGTTATTTTCGATTGAAGATAAGATTTCTTTTTCGTTTCTACATCAGTTGTAGCACACCTCTCTAAAATAACAGAATCGTTCAACTCAGTTTTATCCCTCGGCAATATATAATACTTGCCTATTTTGATGAACTTAATTTCCACATCTCTGCAGTAAATAAATTCTACTTCTGAAATTCATAGGGTATGGCGGGATATATTGATGCACGGGATGGTTTGGTGCAAAACGCCTATTTCAGAAACGGAATCGTCTATTCGTTTTCAAGGGTCACCAGCGCATGCGTATTTAAGCCTTTCTGCTTCATTCATGTTTATGAGTCGAAGATCTGAGAATCTAGAAGTTTGAACCAAATTTGTGAAAAATCAGCAATTTTCGCGCGGTAATAAAAATATGTTTTTTTCTAATTTTTTCTAACTCGAATTCATTCTAAAATATGTTTATACCCTTGTACTATGATAAGCTACTATAATTTCCCTTTAACTGTCTTCACTTGCTAATCCTCTGTGAACAATGTGGGTCTAGCACTGAGCCTTTGAAAATCTAGAAAAGTAGTGTAGGTTGACGCAAGAAAGTGCACAAGCGAAATTCTCACAGACACACCCGTGATAAATCTTCTGTCAACCAAGAAAATGAGCAATGACCAGACAATCCCAGATAGAAGAAAGGAACGAAAAATAGAAAGACGGAGAGAAAGGTAAGGGGAGGGGAAGGAAGCACCTGTCAGCAAAAAGAATGATCAAAGGGATTAAAACCAGTGGTTGTATTTTCAGATTGCGAATCAGACGCAGATGTGTAGAACTGAATTCATTGTTGGTGGGCGTATGGAAGCTCTTGACGCGGGAAGAAGTGGATCCAGTGTTGAGCAGGCTCATAAGAAATGCGTTATGAGAAACTGTTTTTATTTGTCAATGGTCCAAGGATGCGAATGAGTCGATATTGATTAGTAGACGTATATTTACTCATTGGTCTATATTCCTGGGTTTACTATTTTTTTTTTACTTCTGTTGATTTATATATTCGCTTGGCTTCACTAAAAATAGCATTTAAGCCCACATTTTGCGTTGTTAATTCTTTGTGTCTATTTACAATTCTTGTCTTTAAATTTGGTTTCCGTCACTTGTTCTCTCCTCAGAATATAACACACCTTCGCCCCAGAGAAAAAATCTTGGTGTTACTCCACGTGATTTTTTTGTTCCTGCATCAACATACCCCACCGGGTGCATCAATGGGCCCTAAGGGTGGAACAGGTAGCTGCATTTGACAAAAAAAAAGGGAAAATATTACGGAAATTCTGCATTTTATTTATTTCAATTCTATGGCCTCGTGTCTCATAAGCCCTGAGGGTCGTAGGGGGGCAGCACATGTTGTGCAGCCGCAGGAGAAGTGGTGTGTCTCGGGCAAGATAGCCTGGCAAAGCCCAACCCTCTCTAGGCTGGCTTGAATTCAGAGTTCTTCCGGGCTGCCAATATGGGCTAAAAAACTTAGTATGGCCTAATAAAAGATGTTCCGATAACTTGGACCGGTTTTAAATGTGAATTAAGTTTAAGCGTCTAATGTTATTTTTTTTCTTTCAGATTTAACAACTTAAGTCTTTAGCAATTTCAACCATGGAAAGATTAACCATCAAACAACGTATTAAAGTTATCGAAGCCTATTACGAAAATGGACGTTTAAACAGAATTTGAATGAGAAGTTCTCAGGTCGCATCATCTCTCGAAACAGCGAAATCAATTGTCCACCATGATCATATGTCTTGACGCCTTGAGATTTCTTCCTTTGGGGTCATCTCAAAAGTAAGGTCAATGCCAACAAGCCAACAATTCAACATCTGAACGATAAGATAATAATGCATATTGGTGAGACCGAGGAGCAACTATGCAGAGACGTCATCAAAAATTTTAACCATCGAATGGAGATGCGCCGCCGAAGCCTTGGCAGACATTTGGGCGATATTATTTTCTCACGCATAATTGCTATGACTTAAATAATATGATCCAATAGAGAAATAAATAAATTTTCACCAATAACACTGATTTATTTACTGCTGACTTTGATCCGTCTTAATGAAACACTCTTTATTTACCCATAGCTGGAAGAAGAGAAGGGCATTTCCTAAGGGTATTGACAAGCACGTTACTGAATGTAAATGAATTCGAACTCCGCTCTCCGATTTGTCAATCCGAGCCGCAATTAATTACTCCACACTGCCTCCATTTCAAAGTACATTTAACAAATGGCTCAGTCAGCGGAGTGATTGTTGCTTAGCGTCACTTAGAAAAAAAATCCATCAACGTGTCCCGTCTTACCGTTTCCTGTAACTATCTTCCTAGTTTTAAAACCCGACATTGTTTGCAATAAATATTCGAATCTGTTTCTCTGGTCCTCCTGCCTGTCCACCATTCCATCTCATTCCAAAACAATCTAATCCTTTACTGTAGGGTACAGAATATTGGCCCAACTTAAAACTCGGTTCTAAAGTCTAGCACTTTCGAAGTGTTCGTATCTGCTAAACAGGTGAGAGTGAGGGGGTGTGTCCGTGGCGAGAATCTCCAATGTTCTCGCGTAAAAATGGCGTCTGTCTGGTCGGCCTTTTGTGGCAAGACATAGCGGGGGAATTAAAAATACCTTTTTGTCAGAAATATTATGGCCAAGAAATTTTGGTTGTCACGCTTCGGGTCAGGCATTGTTCAGTATTCTTGTTGACTTGTGCAAATGAAAATTGTTTCATCTCCACGACTCCAGCGCGAGACACGTCTTTTCACCAGCCGTACAGAGCACACAAAAATACACGCACACTCACATATATACACATGCACTCACACACGCAAACAAACAAACACACACAAATATATATATATATATATATATATGTGTGTGTGTGTGTGTGTGTGTGTGTGTGTGTGTGTGTGTGTGTGTGTGTGTGAGAGAGAGAGAGAGAAAGAAAGAGAAATTAAAACCGATTGTTAAGAAGGGATTCTGACTCTGCTCCAAACGCATGACGAATATATATATATATATATATATATATATATATATATATATATATGTATGTGTGTGTGTGTGTGTGTGTGTGTGTGTGTGTGTGTGTGTGTGTGTGTGTGTGTGTGTGTGTGTGTGTGTGCCAGTATGCCATGGGGTTAATAAAAATATCTCTTATCTATATATATAATACTTTCTTTATAGGTGACACAAATATACTATATACGGACACGCAGACATACGAATATGAATATATATATATATATATATATATATATATATATATATATATATATATATATATATATATATATATATATATATATATATATATATATATATATATATTACAAACAATGTTCGTAAATTCTAAAGAATGATCAGACAGTCGTTGTTAGCGAAATTTAATAAAACGTGTTATATATCTACGACTATCTATAGTTTATGAATGAACTTTTTATAATAACGCTTGAAGCAGTAAAATATCTGATTAAAAATAAATCCATTTCTTCTTTAAA